ACACACACACACACACACAGAGGGTGCCAAAAGAAATATACATATTTTAAGAAAGGAAAAAACTGTGATCTGGAGCAAGTTATTTAATCCCCCTGTGACCCAGTTTCTTTATCTATATGTGAAGTACTTAACACAGTGCCTAACATATGGTGAGCGCTACAGAAATGTTTGTCTCTAGCCATATGCCATAAAATGGCCATAGTAGGAAGCACAAACCAGTATAAAGGAAGCCATGCTGAGCATAAATGCCAGGTAAGGAGGAGCAGACTGGAGTCCAAATACACATCTGCACGCACACACACTGGTTCTGCACTTTTTGCTCATTGAATTTGTTTTCCAACTATTCTCTTTTAATATTTAGAAAACGTGTCCTTTGGTACTTTCATTGCATTACACCTATGTTAAGAGGAAAGGGATTTTATCACATTTATGCCAATGCTTTGAAGGAAAGCCACACTTTCTGGAGACCACTGTGGTGGGGCAGCCGTAATCAAAGCTATAGAACCTCAAGTACAATGTAACAATCAGAAAACTAAACTGGAACCTTTGGTCGGAAAAGTACTTATGGTACACAAATGAATTCTTGCCAGAAGAGGAACTTGTAACTACTATCATTGAAGGACACTTTACACTCTCATTAAATTTCATTGGAATCCTTTGAGGCATGATCATCTCAGCTATATAGATTAGGAGACCAAGGCTTCACGAGGCTGAGATAAGTCTATCCTGCAGCTCTGACTGGTGCTTGTGCTCTTCCTGCTGTACCAGATGGAGATGATACATTAACTTTGTTCCTGGCAGTTCCCGCTAGGAAGGATAATGCCTCTAGCAAGCAACAAGGAAGAACTTGTTAAACTGCCGGGCTTCACCTTGACTTTTGGCCAAGTGAGTCCTTTCTGAAGCCATAAATCTTGATTTAGTGATTCTCCCTCATCTGTAATTTTGATCACTAGGTCTTTGGGAAGATTTTTTTTTTCTCCTCCTGTATTTTCTCTCGCCCTCAGCCAATTCTCTTCTTTTGATGTCTCTGCTTTCAAATTTTTCTGCCTTCCTGCCTTTCCTGCTTTCCATTTTCTCATTATAAAATAATTCAGGCTTAATTCAGCCATATCTGACTGGTACAGCTATGTGACTACCTCCCAACCTGGGAGACAGGTGAAGGAGGGAGGGAGGGAGAGACTGATACACAGTGATTGTCTGGAATGGGCCTGGCGCTGTACTAGGTATTTTACATCAATTATCCCATATGACGTTCAACAGTCTTGGAAGGTAGATATTATTGTCTCTACAGGTGGAAAAACAGAGGCTCAGGAAGTTAGAATCACTTACACACAGTCATGGTGAATGGTAGAACTGAGATTCAAACAGAAGCCCAACTCCCCAGCTCCTTCTCTTCCCGCTACCCCAAGGAAATGCTAGGCAGGGTAGGGACAGGAACGGACACTTGTGAGATTCTGGGGCTGCCATGCTGTGGGTAGGAAGATGGAGGTCCAAGGGAGCCTTGAGGATTTGAGAAAGGCGAGGCGGAGTAACTGGTCGAGGGGACTCGCCAAGTGGCCTGCGTCTTTTTTGGTGTGACTCACTTCCTGCTGTTCTCAGCCTTCTTCACTGTCCTCAGGAGACAAACAGGTGTCCTGGTCCCTAAACTAGGAAGAGAAGGAATGGCCGGGTCAGGTGATGGGCTTCAGGTACCTGATGAATTACCTACCAAACCATAACTAGTGAATAGAACTTCAAAGCCTCACTGTTGCAGCGCCAGGTGGGTGCTGAAGCCACTTCCTCCAGCGGGCAGGCTGCCTGTCTCTGAAGCCCCTCACCCACTGCTGGGAGGAAGCTGCTCTTTGCTCATGGCTGTGTACTGTGTCCAGAGGTGTCTTGTTCATCTTGCCAGGCATTTGTTTGTGTTTATCTGGGATCACATTTTATGTTTAGAATCTTTACAGTAACACACCCTGTATGACAGCACGGAGGTAAATAGCAGCTGCGTTGGTTTCCTGATTGTGAAAGCTCCGCCCATTTGCTTCTCTGCCTGCCTGGGTCGGGTGCTCATTTATCAGAGAACGAGAGACTGCGTGTACCCACGCACGCGTGCTTGTGTGTGTGTGTGTGTGTGTGTGTGTGTGTGTGTGTGTGTGTGTGTGTTCCTGAAACCTTTTGCAGACTGTCTTCCTTCTGTCCTCCTCAGCTGGGGAACCTCCTCTCTGCCAGAGGGCAGGGTGCTAGAATAGGCTGGAGGAGTGGCCGAAAACAGCATCGATCTCCACACATATGGGGAGGAAATGCCAAAAGACTGTTAACGTACCAGGAGACCCCCTTAGAAGGAAAGCCGAGCTGGATGAGTTGCAAAGAGCAAGACTGATCCTTGGAAATAAAATGTGACTAACAACAGTAGGAACAAGGTGTTTGAAAGAAGCTGGGAGAGCAGTTCACGTGGCGTCTTCTGGACTGTTATCAGGTAGGAGAAGGGAGGCACAGATGGATCCGTGTTGTGAGTTCTTGGCTTTTCCCTCCTCTAGATAGCCCCTACTCTGGGCTGGGGAATTTGTTGTTCATTAGTAATCCCAGGAAGAGAAAATATAGAGAATAGAGAATATCTAATTTAAGATATATTATTTCTGAGTCAGACAGAGAAAGACAAATATGATTTCACTTATATGTGGAATGTAAAACACAAAATAAGTGAATAAACAGAACAGAAACAAACTCATAGATACGAGAACATTTTGGGGGTTGTCAGATGGAAGGAGGATTGGGGGGATGGGTAAAAAAGGTGAAGGGATTAAGATGTACAAATTGCCAGTTATGAAAACAGTCATGGGGATGTACAGTACAGTGTAGGGAATACAATCAATAATATTGCAATAACTATGTATAGTGTCAGATGTGTACTAGAGTTATTGTGGGATCACTTTGTAAGTTACATAAATGTTGAATCACTATGTTGTACACCTGAGACTAATTTAATGTTGTATGTCAATTGTAATTGAAAAATTAAAAAAAATTTAAAAATAAAGAAAACTGAGCCCCCTGTCCCCGAAAAAAGGAAAGCAGCTGTTGACTTTTTTTGGGGGAATCACAATTCATTTGAGAATCTCCTGAAAGCTGAAGAACATCTGCTTTAGAAACATGAAGATATACACAAAAATATACATTTGGGCTGAAATGTATATTTTAATGTATATGTTAATGTTTCACTAGAGGCTCTCTTGATGATAAAACTAAACCAACAAATAAAATCAACTAAAAAAGACACATTATTTCTGGGTGTTTGAGGTTTGAATGTAGTAGATGAAGAATTATGGAATCAGGAATATGAGAAATAGAATGATAATTATAATAAAAATAAAATGTCATGAATTTGTCTAACATCTCAAAGGAAATAGAATGTGTTTATCTATATGATCGTATTAAAAATGTGATCTGCTTGTAGAACTAGCGAACACTGTGTTTTCTTATCTACACATTAGGGGGCCTGTCTGTCTTACAATCACTTTGCTCCTTTACAGAGCAAACTTTTCCGGAGGAGCCAAGATACGCATTAGTCTTCCTCATCTCCACTGTATAGCACCTGTGTTTCAGGAATTCCTGCAGACAGGGAAAAATAGAAAGCAAGAAAAACCGATAATGCTCAGTCTTATTGTCAAAAGATCTGTGTTGAAACAGGGTCAGGACTCCAGCCACCATGGCAGAGCCTCTTTTCCAACTGTTTTCAAAGAGCCTTTCAGGCCCTGGGTCTCTAGGAAGGTGGGGGAGGGTGAACGGAGATCAGAACCACCACAACCCCTCCGTATCTAAGAACTGGAGGACAAGGAATTCCGTCTGGGTAATCTCCTCCCTTTTTGCCTCATTCACACTAGGAGATAGCACCAAGGATAAAGCAAGTTATCTACACGAGTCTCATTCTCTGGATTTAAAGATTACCTCTTCCGTGTGCCTTTCCATTCACTTTCGTCTTCTCACAAGTTTGCTTCAGTAGAAAGGTGGAAGCTGGGGTGATGCGTGATCCAGCACGGTGATCCTAATTCCCAGGCCAGTGCTCTGTCCTCTGGGAGTTCTGGTCTCTTCCTGATCCTCAGGCTCGCAGTGAAAGATCACTAGTCCTGGAAACTAGGCTCTTTCATTCCAAAAGCAGACAATAGAAATAGGATTGAGATCAGATCCAGGAAAATGAGCAAACACAGAAAATGATCCAAGATTCCACGATCTGGTGAGTTCTGGAGAAAATTTCTGATTCTACCCTGATTTTCAGAATACATTTTGAACACACTTACAGGCAGATTCTACTTACCTGTTTTTTCCAATTTATGATATATTTGTTGGTGAGATTTCGTTTCAGCATTATGGTTTTCATGACTCTTGGTTTCTGACATAAATCCTTCTTGACACTATGGGTCTTGTCCATTTGAGTGACAAGTACATACATGCAATAAAGTAGTTTAAAGAACACTGGGTTTGAAATGAAAAGACTGGACTATGGAACCTTGCTCTGCCATTTACTTGCTTTTTTTTTTTTTTTTAACCCGGGCCAATTCAGAATTTCTGTCTGAATCTCAGTGTCCTCCTAGCACAATACCTGACACATTCAGCATATATTTATTGGATCTGAAGACAGGAAGGACAGATCATTTTTTGGAATGTTGGAGATAAGTAATTCTGGAGTCCTCTAGATCTGAGCGGCTCTCTATCTTGCTTCTGACTTCACATGTTCATTCCTTTAAGTGAGTCTGCTTTGTTAAATAGCTCGAAGGTAAGGATGAAACGGGGAGGAGAAGGCTGAGTGACTGAGTGAGGAGGCATACCCTCATTCTGGGGGCTGCTACCTCCATATATTTTATCCTCCTCACTGTAAGTCTTTGCGTCCTTTGCCCTATAGCCCATAGCTATTAATAATTTTCTTAACCCAGTGTGGAGTCCATCTAGGAAGCTGGGTCACTTGTCCATATAAAAAGACTATGGCTGGCAGATCCACTTGTGTTGATATGCAGGCAGTAAGGTTGAGGGTGAGGCTGGAATAATAGATTTAATCACACCTTATGGGAACAGATGTTTTATAGAAGTTAATCAAGGAATTTCTCACAGTACACAGGCAAACAGTGTACAACAGAATAGAGCTAACTTTTAAAGTTTATTTGTAGATGTATTTTGGTAAGAAGTGGACATTCATGGGTAAATTGGTCAGGGAGACTATTTTGTGCTAACTGAACAGAAAGGTCACTAGTGAGAGTTGTGTTACAGTAAAACAGACGCAGAGATGCAGCATGGCATTATGCTTGCATTGTGGGAATGTGTAAGAGTTTGCAGAGTTACTATTAATATTTAGTTCAATTCTAGTTATAATCATTAACTTCTATGGTCTCCAGACTATATTCTTGGAAAGATTTGGGGTGGACTTCACTTCCCATTTCACTCTCATTCTCTTCCTGTGTGTATCTCCTCCTTTTGTGCTGTTCCCCCCTCTAGATTCTTATTTCTAGAGGGGAGCTAACCTTTTAATATGCTAACAGAAGTCAGAAGCAACTAAGAAGAGAAAAAATAAGGAATCAACATCACAAGTTAGGCAATAATATTGTTTTAATTAGAACCCTGCCTGAAGAGAGTTGGCTCTATAGATATGTGTAAACTGTAGGCAAGCTATGTACATATTTACCAACTATCAAATGTAGTTACCAGAATAACGAACTTTACAACTTCTCCATATTCTTGATTCTGAAGCCCTGAATTCAGCAATATATGGCACCAAAGTGAGAACTTGAAATCTGCCAACAATTTATTCATTGTCTCATTAGCACTGTATAAAAATGAAATTAAATATTTTGTTTAAATAATAAGTGATACACAGCAAGAAAAAAATCAGACCTGCTTAAGGACTGTAGGTGAAGTAGACCTTCCCCACCAAAACCATGGACCACAATTGCTCAGCCAGGTGCTGTAAACATGTCCTTGAGCACTGGAGCAGGAGTCTTGGGCAGGAGGGGAGCCTTTGAAAATACTTTGAGAAACAATGGCATGAAAGGACAAGGTATGTGGGATAATGTTTTATGTACTTGTGGATTTTACAGTTCAGCTGAGGAGAAGCAGTAGCCAACATACTTTTTTTTCTCCCAACACTGTGAAAAAACTGTCTAGATGTAATTGAAGGGGACAGCGTATTGGTCATCTTGTACAGAATTGTTGATCAGGAACATTCTTCTAATAGTCAGATGGGTTAGACTCTAAGCCATAGGAAGAGCCATCCTAGAAGGGTTTGGCATCAAAGCATGCCTTCTCGCAGTTCGACGCAGAGTGGGCAGGCAAAGACATGTGGTAATTGAATATTAACTGCAGGGAGAACAGCAATGTAGAGAGGAATATTGTTGTTACAAGTGAATTCTATGCATCTTCTGATAGAATTGCTTTGGGGGTTCCGTGAGGTCAGGTTTCCTGCGTGGGCTTCCATAGGTATGTGCCTATGCCTGGTGCGTATACCTGAAAATTTCTAGATTCATTCAGTATACTCTACATGCCTCTAGCCAACCCATAATCATTGGAAAGAGCTTACTGTACCAACAGCTAGGAAGCAATTTATTGAGTGGGCCTCACCACACGGTACCTTTATGTCCTTGCTCCAGCATCCAATTTCATTTCATCCAGCATCTTGAAACTATTTATGCACCAATAAAACTGATGTTGAGAACGTTTTTCAGGAAATGCAATGAAAGGTCATACTGTATCCACAGGTGGGTGCTGTGTAATAATGTGGTATCCAGGCACAGTGATATAAACGTGGGTATGAGTCACTGGGTGTCGTGATGTTTGGCCATGTGCCTGTAGTTGAGAGTGACCTACCGTGAGCAGCGCTGTGTGGGGATCCACAGCGCACACAGGGCTTTAAACGACAGGGCGTGCAGTTTGGTTTGTGGGCAGAGTTCACAAGTTTGAGCTGGCTGCTCACTGCCCTTTCCTCCACTTGTACGATGGTAAGAGATTATGCTCAGAGAACCTACGCCTCCCCAGAGAGCCGCACTCATGAAACTGGCTGCTCCCTGAGGGAAAATACTTACATTTGATAATGCGCTGAAGAGGAAGTAAGAGGAAAGGAAAATAAGATTAAGCTGGCAGCCAGAAGTTTGCAAATAGCTTTTGAATCCTCCTGGCTGAGCTGTTTATTTTTGAGACCTTCTCCTTCACTCCGCCCTCTCAAGAAACTTGCCCTGCTTTTAGTGAATTCCCTTCCATGTGGTCTTGCGGAATTGTAGAAACTTTCTCAACTACCTCTCCCCTTGTCTTTTTGGCTTACAAACTAAATGAGAGGGACTTTGCTGTCTTATTATTCATTGACTTCATAGAGCCCTTGCTGTATACAAACCCATGGATAAGAATTTCCCTCTCCTCCCCGCGATTTTTCTCCTGGCGACTCCTGTGTTTACTCTGTCAACCAACCACATGCCTGTCTCTCTTCTGAGTTGTAAGGAAATTGTTTAACTCTCACCCCTCATACAAGCTCATGGAGCTCAAGAAAAGCGAAAAGGGGGCGAGGCTGGAGCTGGGCAACTTCTTTACATATGTGCTTCAGGAACTAAGAGACTCTGCCTCAATAGCTAGCATTGTGGTTATTGATATCAATAAGGAAACACAACATGTAATGTAATGGAAGACATTATGGCACATGTAACATAGGTACATATCATATAAGCTACAATTCTGATTTCTAAAACTTTACCTTGTTATCAAATCACTGCAAAAGTAGATAACATATTTAGGATTTACATAGACAGTGGAAAATCACCGTATTCTGTTTCACATCAATCAGAATTCAAGTAGGCTTTGCCGATCACAGAGCCAGGGGAAGACTCTTATTAACAAAGGGCGAAACAAAGTTTGTAGATATCTGGATATATGAAAGGGTAGTAATCACCAGTTCTCTTCGGAAAGAGCAAACCAGGTTTTGGGAGGTGTCATTTCAAATATATACTGATTAAATAGAATTAAAAAATAGTTCACATTAGGGGCCGGCCGAGTGGCGCGACGGTTAAGAACTGGCTTGGGACACCAGAGGGCCCCGGTTCGGATCCCACATATGAGGGCCAGTGACACTGCCCTCCACAGCTAAGATGCTGAACAACAGCTCAACCTGGAGCTGAGATGCCTTGAGTCGCTGACGACGGCGTAGGCTGCAGCCCCTGTGGCAGTGGGTTGCCATGGGCTACCATGTGTAGCCAGCAGCCAGCATGAGCAGCCAGCAGCTGCAGTGAGTGGCTGTCCAGAAGCCGGTGACTGATCTGTCTCGCCCGGGAAGAGCACAATGATGGTGCCAACTTGGGCCAGTGAAGCAATGTCCTCCACAACTAGACTGAAGAACAAAACAACAGCAACTTGTCTGTTCCCCTTTCCCCAGATCCCCAGCACTGTTCCCATCCCCCCAATTCCCCAATAAAAATCTTAAAAAAAAATTCACATTAAGAATCTCTGGCCAGATTAAATAAGAAACTAGTATCTATAGACTATTTGGAGGAGAACTGGGAACTGGATAAATGGATGAGGATAGGTTGAGAGAAAGATTTCATGGTATATAATTTCACATTTTTACTTTTGAAATCTTTATTTCCTCTTTGTTTAAAAGAGAGAGAGAGAGAAAGAAAGAAGATGGTTTGGTACTGACACCTCTTTAATCTATATACTGGTAAGAATGAGTGTCTGCATCTGTCTATATATGACAGGCAGGAGAAGATTCTTGGAACTCTGAGAGCTGCAGAATTAAATACCTTTCATTGATAAATACTGTCTGTTGGTTGTGAGGCTGCAGCATGAGAATGTTTCGGGGAAAGAAAGCCAAAGGAAGCAAATACCAGGAAAGATTTCTCTTGAAATCTGCCAAGTATTTACTCACTGTCTCCATTAGCTTTGCATAAAGGGGAAATTAAATGTTTTGTTTAAATAGTGTTACACAGCAAGAGAAAATCAGACCTGCTGGAGAACTATATGGGAGGTAGACCTTTCTCACATAAGCCATGGACCACAATTGCTCAGCCAGGTGCTGTGAACATGTCCTTGAGCACTGGAGCAGGAGTCTTGGGTAGGAAGGGAGCATTTAAAAATACTTTGAGAAACAATGGCATGAAAGGATAAGACCAGATCCGGGCTGTACTTCCTGTGTAAAAGAAGAAAATGCCAGGAAAATATGAAGTCCTTCCAGCCTGAATATCAGGTAGATGGACAGAGATAAGTGTATGACTCAGAGAATCCCAGATACTTAATACCTAGTAACCTGTAGGTGTGTTTTAAAGTTCTCTCTGTGCTCCATTTTATTTTTTTTCAGAACGACTGAATACGTGGGAATTCTCCACAGGGAATTATTCTCTGTGGGTCAAGCCTAGAAGTGGACAGCTGTGTGGCAATGGAAAAGGAGAAGGGCATGAAACGGATGCTGCTGGAGTGCAGTCTCAGTGACAAACTGTGTAGTAAGTACAGATAGCGCTGATGTCTACCCTCTGATTTTAGGATAACGAAGACTAGGGTCTGGATAGATTCCAGGAGGAGGATCATTTGAGTTTTAGTAGAAATGGCACCAGAGGCCATTGTCTTTGAAGGGTGGGGAGTGCCAATCTGAGATCCAGATGCCGCATTCTTCATCTCCATTGGAAACATTAGAGAAGAGGCACCGAGCACACTTGTTGGGCTAAGAAACGGGGACATTGGCATTTCCGATTAGAGAGTGGCTCCCAATAGGGATTTCAATGAATAGAAGCAGAGCAGAAGAAGGAAGAGGTGATTGTTTCAGGATGATGAGCTTAGGACTGGTGGATAGGGGAGGTTGAGTGGACATCAGGTTAGGCTCATTTTTCAATCTCTTCTCTTCCTGTTTAATTTCCTACCCAGTTATCGGGCAGCAGCAGTATGAAATCATCGTTGTCCCAACCCTTCTGGTTGGCGTCTTCCTCATCATTCTTGGGGTAATCCTGTGGCTTTTTATCAGAGGAAAAAGATCTCAGCAACAGTCTCCCGGACTCCAAGGTAAAGCTCAAACTGGGGCTGGACAGACGCTCAGGGAAGATGGAGGTTGCATAAAACTAAAGCCCAAGACTCAATAGGCCTAATAGAGGTCTAGGTCCCCGCAGTGGGAGAGGAAGCACGGGTCCTTCCTGTGCAGTGGAGAGGGGGATGAGCTCTTCTCTAGGAAGTCATGTGCAGAAACTCAGTATATGCTTGTTGGCTGAAACACCAATAGGCAAGAGAGGCCACATGGGACCTGTTTCTGTCCTTTCTCTTACTGCATTATCAAATCTTTGGCCACGTGAATGTCTAAGGATCTGGATGACCTAGTGGGTAAAGCCCAAGGCTTTGTTACCACTTTTGAGGGATGACATTTTACTCTATAATACATTCCAGCCCTACTCTGTGCCCTTGGAATATATGATGAAAAGGGGTAGCTTTCATAATAGTCTTTGAAGTGTTAGGTAGGAGATGACAACATGCTGTTCTGGAGTGCACTGAGCGTAAAATGCAAGGAGTCAGCTCACACATGAAACTAAGAGTAAAAGGAATGAAAAACTATCTGACAGTAATATGAAACTTTATAGTGGCTGACCCCTAATCCCTCCAAAATTTTATCCCAAACCTCTTATAATTCACTGTTATAAACAATTCAAAAGAAGTTGTCTAAACTCACTTGCACTACTTCTGTCATATTCTCTTTTGAACATATTAAAATAAACCTTATATCTCCACTGCTCCACCAAAAGAACTCTTTCCAAGATCACCAATGACAACTATGTCGAGGCCTTATCTTACTTGACCTATAAAAATCATTTGAAACAATTTTGTACTTCTTTCTTCTTGCAACACTTTTTTTTCCTTTTGAATCTCCAGTCATTTCCAAAATGATCTCATTTTAAGTCTACAGATTCAAATGCTTTCTCTAATTTGACTGTGGTCCCCCTTGAACTCCAGATTCTTGTATTAAACCACCTACTTTGCAGTTGGGATCAAACACACATCTCATATATGATATGTTCAAAACAAAGGTCCTGAAATTCTCTCACAAATATCCTCTGCCAGTAGTACCCCCATCTTAGCAAATGGTAAGCCCAGCTTTCTGTGTATTCAGTCTAAAATATCAAAGATGCCCTTGTCTCTTCTTTCTCTCACACTCCATATCCAAACCATTAGTAAATCCTGTTAACTCTACCTTCAAAAGAAACTCATGCCACTCTCACCGCTCAGAGATCATTGTAATATGCTCCTAACTGGTTTCTTTGCTCTGCCCCTATCCCTTTATGGCAGCGGTTCTCAACCTTCCTAATGCCACGCCCCCTTAATACAGTTCCTCATGTTGTGGTGACCCCCAACCATAAAATTATTTTCGTTGCTACTCTATAACTGTAATTTTGCTACTGTTATGAATCGTAATGTAAGTATCTTTTTTTTTCCAATGGTGTTAGGCGACCCCTGTGAAAAGGTTGTTTGACCCCCAAAAGGGTCGCGACCCACAGGTTGAGAACCGCTGCTTTGTGGTCTATTCGCCTTAGAGCAGCAGAATGATTCATGTAAAGTGTAAGTAAGTCCTGTGAATTTTCTGCTTGAAATTCCCCAGTAGCTTCCCATCTTAGAATGAAAAAAGACAAGATTCTTTCAATGGCCTTCCATGATCTGGGCCCTCTCTGGCTTCCTCTCCGATAACTCTCCAATTATCCCACTCAATTCCAGCCGTACTGACTTCATTACTGTTCCTCAGATATGCCAAGTACGCTCCTGCCTCAATCCCTTCCCACTTCTGGTTCCCTTTGTCTATATAATAACCTTCCTGATCCCCATATGTTTGCTTTCAAATTGCTTCCAGGTGTTTCTCAAATGTCATCATAAAGCCCTTTACTGACCTTCAAACATAAAATAGCATCACTGATGCTTCTTATTCCCCTATTTTCCTCCATGACACTCACCACCTGGTATATTATTGTCTGCTTCCTCTCTCCTGCCACTAGAAAGTAATCTTCATGAGAATCTGGACTTTGCTCATTTCCAATACCTAGAACAGTGCTTGGCATGTAGAAAATGAAATTTGTTGAATTAATGAATGAATGGAGATTTAATAAGGAGAATGAATCTATTCCAGTGGAGAAAAGTTGGCTAAGGATGGGGTAAAGTACTAAAAGACTTTTTTGACGGAAACTCTAGGAAATACGGAATGATTTCACAATGGGGACAACTTGAGGGAAGAAAAATAAACATAGCTTAGAGCTCAGTAGTTATCCATACCTCCCCTCTACCCTTGGGAGCCATTTGATTGACTTAAATGATAGTCCCCACATCACCTTTAGGTATCTGTGGTTTGAGTACCTATTCAGGAACTTTCTTAGTTGTCTCCGTACTATACTCGCACTAAATTGTGATACTGAGAAAGCCAGAGAGGAAATGTCATTACCACTTTTCAGAGATCCATCTTGAGTTGTTTTAGAAGTAATGGAATAAATGTTCTCCAAGGTTGGTATTGATGCTAGTTCATAGAGAAGCATTAGAAGGTATCAATGTTGTTAAAGGAGCTTTCTTGCCAGTTTGTTCCAAGTCCTGCTTTCCTGGAATCTGGAGGGGAGGGAAAAGCTGGTTGGTAATATCTCTTTGTTGTAGGCATTGCTGCTGTGCCTCCATCTAGGGGCCTAAATCGGGAAGCTGGAGAACACGGAAGTGTGTTTGTGCCACTTAAGGAGACAACGGTGGAAAGCCTTCTACAAACGTCCACACGGGCTCTGGCTAAGCTGCAGGTGCCCCGAGAGCAACTCTCTGAGGTTTTGGAGCAGATCTACAATGGGAGTTGTGGGGCCATCTATAGAACCAAGATGTGCACTGGGGACCCTGCTAAGTCCAAGAGTGTTGTCCTCAAGACTTTAAAAGGTACCAGGGGAAGTGTTAGACTTCCCTTTCCCATTTTACTTTTCCACTGTGCATCACTAACTGGATTCTAACGGGCTTTGCAGACATTCAGATGTGAATCAATACATAGTTGTGATCCCAACTGGGATTAAGAATGAGAAGGGAATAGAGAGTGACAACTTGAGACAGAAATGTTATTCTTGGGTCTTTTCTTAGCTCAGTCTTGCCTATCGAGGTAGTTCAAACTGATTTTTCCAAATTGGATATTATTTGGATGAGGATTTTGAGGTTGTTTCTTCATTTTTCTTCACTAGATGATATATTTCCCTGATAGTGTAGTGTATTTCTCTCCTTCTCTCTCCTTCTCTCTC